CTTATGCTTTCAAGTAGCTCATGTTTTAGTAATCGCACGATAGGCAAACAATCTGTGAGAGACATCATTATTTTTTATGTGTACAGCCAGAATATCAGAATGGCTTCCTGAAGAATTGTCCTCTGGTAAGTATGGCAGAACAATTTCAAGAGAAGGGCTGAATGATAAGAACACTTTACAAGTTTGAAAAAAGCTAGAAAGTAGTTTAGGTGCTAAGTTTTGATTTCAGAGCAATGGACAGGGAGGCAAAAAGATGTCTGCATATATTCAGTTACCGAGTTCTTGCCTCTTTTTTTTTTTTTTTTAAAAAAAAAAAAAGCTTTCTCACTGCTTCTAGACACATCAGATTTTGGTAGAAAGTATATCTCTTTTTATTGCCTTTAGAAAATAGAAACTTGAAAATGAGTAGTCAAGAATTCCCTTGGTAGAAAATGTTTCTCTTTTTATTGCCTTTAGAAAATAGAAATTTGAAAACAAATGGTCAAGAATTCCTTCCTTATATGTTCATTCATTGTGTCATTAATTCAGATTCAAATACATGATTGTCATTTTGCACACCACACAAGAGTGATAATCCTTCAGACAGGCTTTAAAGCTTCTTGTGTACTTTTTGTCAAACTGTTAGATACTCCTTGCCTTTTCACACTTGCTCAGACACACTTCTTTTTCAAGATACTCTGTGCCATTTGGCCCTTCCCAGTCTGAGTGTGTGAATCCAAGCATTGGAAAGCTTTATCCGCCCTCTCTTCAAACCACTGTATCCCAAATTTTAAATGGCTTCTTTCTGCCAGTTTTCCAGTTTAATCCCTGTTGCTGTGATTAAGTAGTCCAGGACATTCTTCAATGACATCTAAGGCTTTGGAATTTAAAAGTAAATTGCTTCTGGGAAAAACAAATCAAACTTGCATTGCAGACCTGCAGAAAGTGCATTAAAACATATTACGCTGCACTTTCTTGGTGGAATAAATTGAAAGTCTTAGTAATGTTTCTTTTAGCAATGTCAGATTCTGAGACACTTCAATTAATTTTGGCTTTAGATTGAGTTTCACTCTAACACTCTAGTCTCTATTTGATGTGTCTACATTTTTCAATGTATCCAATGATGATTTATGCCATAAATTATTGGCTTTAGGGCTGAAAACCCAGACTAGAAAGGTAAAGCAATATGCTGGAGTGAGTGCATGGAGAAGATATGGATTTGATTTGATTTTCCATTACTGATTTGCTATGTGACATTGGATAAATTGTACAACTTTAGCAGACCTTCATCAATATCACCATTCATGTCTACCTATGAAGGTGTCATGGAGCTGCCGTATTATATCTGAGACATATTTTCTGGTAGAAAGTGATGGAGTTGTTGGGGAGGAATATGGTATAATTCCCTATTGTTTCATAGGCACACTGAATGCTTCCTTAGAGAATGTTTAAAAGGATAGTTTAATAAAATGTGTTACCTAGAGGAATTAATTGTGTTTTGGTGCTTAATTCAGGAAATCGAATAATTCACTTTTTCCAGCAATGAGGAAAGAATGAATATTCACTTTTGTAGTCTAGCTTGACTTTATTTTTTTTTTGTTTCTTGGTATTAAAGTAAGACATATATATAGAAAAATGTACATATCATAAAAATACAGCTTGATAACTTTTTACAAACTGAATACACTCATGTAATCAACATGCACATCAAAAAGCAAAGGCTTATCAGCTCCCCAAATAATGCCCCCATGTTCTCTTCTAGTCACTACCCTCCTGCCCATGAAGGATAACCCAAACCTAACTTTTAAACCCATAGATAAGTTTTACCTGTTTTTGTATATTATACAATTGGGATCTTACAGACTATACTCATTCACGTATGACATTTTTATTTCAAAATTACATTTATGAGATTCATCCATACTATTTCATGTAGATACAGATATTTTATGCTCATTGCTGCATAGGATCTTTTTATGTAAATATATCACAATTTATCTACTCTAATGGTGATAAACATTTGAGTGGTTTCAAATTTTTTTTTCCATTATTAACAGTGTTGCTGTGAACATTCTAGAATAGCACAGTCCAATGGAACTTTCTACAGTGATGGGAATGCCTATACCAAAAGGTAAATCTTCTCTGTACACAATACTCCAGAGGAAGATAATACTTTAGGGAAAAAGAAGCATTTGCATCTGGATATCTGAAGACTGATGATTAATAGAAGGGCATTGGATCTATGGTCTCATGACATCTGATCCAATCTTTTTCCTTAGCTTACTCACTGCCTCTCTGTACATTGTTATTAGTATTTAGTGTAATTAAATAGTTTACTGGGTAAAATTGTTGACATAGTATGAAAGAGATCGTTGCTAAACTATTCCCAGACTCTTGAAACAAGGTTATAGGAAGCAGAAAGTCCTTTCCAGTAAACACTGAGGCCAATTTGAGACTGATATTTTTCATCATCAGAATTATGTTATGGCAACATGATATTTTCTTCAAGCAGGTACATTCACCAGAGCAAAAGATACAGACTTCTGCCTTGAATGAATGCATACATTAATGGATTGAGGGATTTCTAAGTGGGTGGATGAAGGAAGGGATGAATCAGTGCATGGATGAGTAATTTCCTTGAGGAGTAAGTTCTTCACTTCTATCTGTTCTTCAGTCATAAAGAGATGTTACTAAAAATATACTGTAAACTTAGGAGACAAAGGCACATTGGTATTTCTTTCTCTTCCTCTTTACTCTCCCTTATCTTTCCCACCCTCTTCCAATAGTAACAAGAACTATGAGTTATTCAGGGAATCTGTTAAGGAAAATATTATGCTAGGACTCATTCTCTTCTGAAGTGTAATAACTCTATTAATGAGATTCACAACAGTTTCTACAAATATAAGATTTATATCCCCTGGAAGACATGATGCTTTGAAAATTAAGTAACTTTGAAAAGGAAAATTTTTCAGTTTCCAAGAAATATGTTTACGAAGTATATTATATTTTTAATAAATAGTATCTCTTAAAAGTGTGCAGTTCTTTATATGAATGCTTATGGCCATATATATGTCTTGCCATGTTGTGTTGTTGTTAGGTGTCATCGAGTCGGCTCCAACTAATAGCGACCCTATGTACAACAGAACAAAACACTGGCCGGTCCTATGCAAACCTCACAATCCTTGCTAGACCTGAGCCTATTGTTGCAACCACTTTGTCAATCCACCTTGTTGAGGGCTTCCCCCTTCTTCACTGACTCTCCACTTTACCAAACATGACATCCTTCTCCAGGGAATATTCCCTTCTGATAACATGACCAATGTAGGTGAGATGAAGTCTGGCCACTCTGTTTCCAAGGAGCATTCCGGCTGCACTTCATCCAGGACAGTTTGTTCATTCTTCTGGCAGTCCATGGGACTTTCAGTATTCTTTGACAACACCACAACTCAAAAGCATCAACTCTTCTTCGGTCTTCCTTATCCATTGTCTAGCCTTCACATGCATATAAGGCAATTGCAAATACCATGGCTTGGGTTAGGTGACCTTAGCCTTCAAAGGGACATCTTTGCTATTCAGCGCTTTAAAGAAGTCTTTTGCAGCAGATTTCCCCAGTGCAATAAAATACATTGTGTGATGTCTTGACTGCTGTTTCCGTTGGTGTTGATTATGGAACCAAATAATATGAAATCTTTGACAACTTCAATCTTTTTTCCATTTATCTTGATGCTGCTTGTTGGTCCAGTTGTGAGGATTTTCTTTGTGTTGAGTTATAATCCATATCACAGACTATAGTCTTTAATCTTCATCAGTAAGTGCTTCAAGTTATCTTCACTTTCAGCAAGCAAGGTTATGTTGTCTGTGTATCACAGTTTGGTAATAAGTCTTCCTCTAGTCCTAATGCCACATTATTCTTCTTGTAGTCCAGGTTCTCAGATTATTTGCTCAGTATACAGATTGAGTAAGTATAGTGAAAGGATACAACTCTGTTCTGGTTACCTATACCACAAATGGGATGGCCTTAACAAACAAGAGTTTATTCTCTTACAGTTTGGAGGCTTTAAGTTCAAGTTCAGAGTGCCACGCTCTAGGGGCTAGGTGAAAGTCCCTCAACCTTGGGGTCCAGCTCTGCTGCCTGCTCCCAGCCCACTGAAACTAGAGTCTTTTCTTTTCTTCACTCAGACAGCTGCTGGCTGCTGAGGCTGACAAGCCCAAAGTTGCAAGTAAAAAGTCACAGTCCTGATGTTACCAAACCACACGGCAGGCCATTCATTCAAATTCATTGTAAGTCCAAGGTCGGCAGAGCATGGCAAGCTGCTGAACAATGACATGACTACATGAAGTGTCCAAGCATGCCATAAGCTAAAGAGCATTCCCCAAGGCTTCTGCTTATATACAGGAAGCAGACCACATTCCCTAAGGCAGCTACTCAGCTGCTCACAGTAGACTCCATCGTGGAGTTGATTACCAGACTCATCATGGAGAATACTAGATCCAGCTGCCCAGCTATTCAACCAGGCACAGCCAAGTTGACACACAAACTGAACTACCACAAACCCTGACACGCTCCTTTCCTGATTTTAAACCATGCAGTATCTCCTTGTTCTGTTTGAACAACACCCTCCTCTTCTATGTACAGGTTCCTCATGAGCATTATTAAGTGTTCTGGAATTCCTATTCTTCTCAATGTTATCCATAATTTGTTATTATCCACATAGTTGAATGCTTTTGCATAGTCAGTGAAACACAAGTAAACATCTTTCTGCTATTCTTTGCTGTCAGCCAAGATCTATCTGACATCAGCAGTGATATCTCTTGTTCCACATCCTCTTCTGAATCCAGCTTGCATGTCTGGAAGTTCCCTGTCAATATGCTGCTGCAACTGTTTTTTAATTATGTGTGGCCATAAACAAAAAAAATTATATATGCTAACATCTGAGGCTTTAAAACCGTATTTGAATTGGTTGATTAACATACCTAAGAAATCACTCCATTAAAACTATTTTTTTAAAACTTTTGATAAGATATTACACAGTGAATCAAGGATTAAACTCAGCAAAATTACATCCATACAGGAAATACATGTTGAGGTCAGTGTAGCTTCAATTTTTTTTTTTTTTATTAGGATTTGGGTGAAGATTTACAGAGTAAATTCACTTTTCATACAGTAGTTCACATATACTTTGCCTCATGT